CTTAAACACCAAAGGTAAGCACACACCATCACCATATCGCACTCCCACAATAGCTTCCACCACCACTTTAGCATCCGTCTCAGAGCAAACACCATGAAAGTTAAAAGATTTAGCCCAATACATAGCACGAGAAAAAGCAAAAGCCTCAGCTTTGCTTACGGAAAAGGAAGAGACCGGTTTAAATATTACTGCTTGAAGAACAGATCCATTAGATCTCCGAAAAACCGCCCCTCCACTGCCTAACAACGAGGTATTTTTAAAGCTAGCATCCATGCACATTACATTTAATTAGACCAGGCGGCAGGCATGTCCAACAGTTAGAGGACACAAAACAACTCATAGAAGAATCAAACGCTTGGCATTTTTTCTGTGCATATAGGAATTCCCACATCCGATCCGTAGCTAGATTAGCCACCACTAAAGGATCCCAAACATCCTTTTCAAACACCATTTTATTTTTAGCCTTCCAAATCATTCACACACAAAAAACAGCCAACCCTTCCACTACCTTGTTATTTTCCATGGAAATCAAAAAAACTCTCGAAATACTCTCCCACTAACCAATAAAAGACAAAGGAGAATGCTGAGAAAAATCCCAAGGAAGAGGCATGAGTTTCCATACCTGGACGGAGTGAGTGCACCGGGAAAAAATATGAAGAATATCCTCAACTTCCAACCCACACATCAGGCACACCGGATCCTGCAAGCAATCTCTTCGAACTAAGTCAGCCCCTGTAGGGATAGCACCATAGCAACATTTCCAAATAAAATGCTTAACCTTAGAAGGCACAGACAAGCTCCATAACTGACTCCAAAACTGGCTAGACACCCTTGTCCCTTCTTGCCGCCGCTCGACCTATAAATTCGGACAATAAAGAGATACAGCCAATTGGTAGGCGGACTTGATAGAAAAAATGGCTTGAGGCATTACCATTCCATATTTGAACATCCTCCTGGCCTATTACATAAAGAGATCTGAGATATACGATTAATCGTAAAAGTAGAAAAAAATTACCACAACAACTCCATACGCCACTGATTATTATCGTCATCAATAAGCTCAGCAACCCACGTAAAAGGCAACCCACTTGTCCTCGCCCCAAAAGGCTTGGAAATACCTAACACCCATTTATCATTCCAAATATGAATAGATGTCCCATTGCCTACCACCTATTGTAAACCATGTCTCAACAACTCTTGCGCCGACCAAATACTACACCAAGCCGAGGATGGATTCGATCCAAGGCCCGCATCCACAAAGGAACATGATGGAAAATATCGCACTTTGAATAATTGATACAACACTCCACGCTTAGAAACTTGGAAATTCCAAGCGTGTTTTGCCAACAATGCCAAACTAAAAGCTTCCAGGTCTCAAAATCCCAATCCACCCTCCTGTTTACTTTTACATAATATATCCCAAGGAGCCCAATGTATTGCTTTATCTTTACCAAATTTTTGCCACCAAAAAGAGCGTACTTGTTGCAATAATTCCATACATAAATTACGAGTAAGTCGAAAAACAGACATAATATATGTTGGAAGAGCATTCAAGATTGCTTTATCAAGACTTCCTTGCCACCATCGGAGAGTGTAATTTGCTTCCAAGAGGCCAAGCGATCCTTCATTCATTGAAGCAAAAACTTAAACACATCATATTTGGATCGACCAATTATTGCAGGCAGCCCAAGATATTTCGACCGAAACCCTTCCTCAGATAGACCCAATGTCTGACTCAAGTCCTGTAACTGCAAAGGCGCATTCTTAGAGAAAAAAATAGTGAATTTTTCAAAGTTCACCTTTTGCCCCGAAGCTAACTCATAAGCTGAAAGAATATGCTTTAAAGATCCAATCTCCGACGCAGATGCCTGGTAAAAAATAATAGAGTCATCTGCAAAAAACAAGTGAGAAATAGATGGAGCACCTCGACAGATTCTCGCCCCGGAGATAAGCTTCGCCAGCTGAGCACGCTGAATAGTTAAAGACAACGCCTCCGCACATAGAATGAAGAGGTACGGCGATAAAGGATCACCTTGGCGCAACCCACGCAATGGCTGAAAAACCCTACTGAAGTGCCATTAATAACCAAAGAATATGAGACCGTTGAGAGGCATAGAGATAACATTTTAACCCAATGGTCATTCATTCCCAATTTACGAAGCAAACTGAATAAGAATTGCCATTCAATATGATTATATGCTTTACTCATATCAAGCTTGAGCGCCAAAAAAGCCTTCTTGCCTTTCCTTTTGTTTTTCAAATAATGGAAAATCTCATGTGAAATAAGAATATTGTCAGTAATATGCCTTCCTGCAACAAACGCAAATTGATATTCATTAATAACATGATCAACCACACATTTCAAACGATTAGACATAACTTTAGCAATAATTCTATAAACAACATTACATAAAGAAATAGGCCTATAATGAGTAACAAAAGTAGGTGAGTTAGTTTTAGGAATAAGAATAATAATAGTAAGATTTAAGCAGGAAAACATATACCCGGTTCGGAAGAAACTGGTTACCGCAGCAACAACATCATCCTTAATCACTTCCCAATATTTACGATAAAATAGAGGAGTCATACAATCCGGTCCAGGAGCTTTCAACGGTTCCATTCCAAAAACAGCTTCCTTTATTTCCAATTTTGTCAGTGGCAACAATAAAAATTGATTCATCTCTGGTGAGATTCGACACGGAACATAACGCGGAAATTGGTCAACTTGTTGAGGATGCTGAGTCTGGAATAATTGCTGGAAATAGCGGTTAAAAACAGATTGAATTTTAGCATCCTCTTCTTGCTAAACTCCCACTTCATCCATCACCCCAGAAATTCTATTCCGAGTTCTTTTGCGTTGGGTCACTGCACGAAAAAACGTGAATTTTTATCCCCAAGTTGAAGCGACTGATTCCTAGATTTTTGTTTCCATGCAATAAATCTCCTCTTCCAGCCAACATTGCGATAAATTAGATTCCGCCTGAAGTACCAAAGAATGAGTATACGTCGCCGTTTGTTCTTTAAGAGATCTGAAATACGATTCCGCCTGTCTAATCTTAGTTTTAGAATTTGGCTGATTTCGCGCCTAATCCACTAAAGCTTTTTTACAGGCTTTCAACTTAGCAGCCCAGCAAAACTGCAGAGATCCATGCACAAAGTTCTTCCATGAATCTTTAATGATAGACAAGCAGCGATCATCCAAAGTCGCCAGCGTCAAAATAAAACTGTTGCTTTCCCTTGGGAACAATTGGAGCAAGATTTAAAAGTAACGCATGATGATCCGACCCAGCCACAGTCAGATGGGATAAAGCAGCCTGTGGAAACATTGAGGTCCACTCTGTAGTTCCCAGAGCTCGATCTAATCTTTCTTGAATTTAGTAGACCAAGAACGGTGATTATTCCACGTAAAAGGATAGCCTATATAACCCAAATCCAACAAATTACAGTTCTCCAATAAAGAACGGAATGCTTGCGGTCGCCACCCAGCTTTAATCGACCCACCATATTTTTCAAAAGGGTGAAAAATATCATTAAAGTCGCCGATGAGTACCCATTTTGAAGACCAGTACTTTGCCTGATTTGCCAAATAATTCCATTGAACAAAAAAAAATACTGTCCACAGGGCTGGCATAAACAACAGTGAGTGTCCATGGGGGTGATGGGGAGAATGAATCATTGCAGTAATATGAAACTCATTTGATTCCATTACTTGCAATTAAACCGAGGCTTTCCACCAAAGCACCATCCCTCCCGAACGCCCCACCGGATCCGACACTTTCTTGTGCTGGTACCCAAGAACTTTCTGAATACTATCAATTCTATTTCTACGATTTTTTGTTTCCAACACCGCCAAAATATCCGGAGACTGGAGCTGATGGAGGAGATTTAAGCTGTTGTACAGTCACAGGGTTACCCAACCTTGACAATTTCAAACAAGAATACGTAAATTAGCATTCTAAAAATTACCTGTAGACCCAACCCGCGCCAGAGAGCTGTCCCCGCGCCACCTATGGCAGTTGGTATAGAACGGCGGCACTGACAACGGCGTCATAGGCTGAGATCGATGCTGGACATGGTCCTGCATACATTCCGTAACAACTTAATGCTATAAACAATAAGCAGTGATATAAATATATTATTTTGCAAACAAGATATTTGATATATACATACACTTGATATATCATCATATATGAATGCTTTCCGATACATATGAATGATCGAGTCGAGTCAAGCCAAGCATTTGACCTTTAGAGCTAGATTCAATCAAGCTAACCAAACAATCAAACTCAAGCTTGGTCAAATATAAGTATTCAAACTCTGCCTTTTTATTTCTATTTTTTTTTTCTGTGGTTTTTCACGTGTAAGAGTTATGAATTGTTTTATGGTAGTTGCATGATTAGTATAAATTAGTTGACTGCTTATATTCTCGGTATTCCCGAAACGAAACGGGTAAATTTGGTACTGATAAAATATGAATCCACTTGTGAATGGATGAGTGATAAAATATATTATGGTTGAAACACATTATAAATTTTTTAAATAATTTTATGATGTGAATTAGGATTGGTGACGTAATTATAAAATAATTTCACATTATTTTCAAATATCTAACCTCTTGATTCTCGAAGTCTAGAATCATAATTATTTGATAATGTGAAGTGTTGGTTAATTCTGTAGGATGGGTCGGCCACATGCCAGAAGAAAAGGCTCTGCAAAAGTCCTCCTATTACATTACTTATATATATATTTTTTAACACATTAATTGCATGTTTCTCTATTTTATTAATTATCAAACATGATCCTAATTAATAAATTCATCGAAGATTACAAAAAAACCTAGGACAACTTTAATTTAATTTAATTTATATGATGGATATTAAGATTAAACTCAAGTTAAACGTGGTTATGAATTAATTTGTCAACTTATTGTCTAAATCTATAAATGAAGGGACATTTATGTGATTCTGGGAGGAAGGTGTGTAAGAGAGAAGCAAAAAAGAATGGGGAGTGAGGTGAGCTCTAACATACTTATCTTTGGTGGGACTGGCTACATTGGTAGTTACATGGTGAAGGCAAGCATCTACAATGGCCATCCAACTTATGTCTATTCTAGGCCTGACTGCCTCAAGACCGACTTGCTTCAAGAGTTCCAGTCCATGGGCGTTAAACTAATCAAAGTACTCTCTCTCTCTACATGATCTCCATATATATATATGTGTGTGTGTATATGTATGTATATAGATATGTATTTACATGAATTCTTCCATCCTGAACAATGTTGAAACATGCAGGGAGGTTTGGATGAGCATGAGAAGCTTGTATCACCTCTCGAATCATAGCATGTGTGATGTGTAGTTTGTGTTTGTGTGTGTTTTTTATGACTTAGAACTTATGTTTGTTTAATTTTCAATGTTGTTACTAGCTGTGCTTAATTATGAAGCTTAATTATGAAGAAGATATGGCTACATACACAATCAAGGTAGCAACTGACCCAAGAACACGCAACCGTGTTGTCATATATCGTCCATCACCGAACATTGTATCGCAGCTCGAATTGATCTCTCTTTGGGAGAAGAAAACTGGTCGAATGTTTAAGAGAGTTCATGTTTCGGAGGAAGAAGTTTTCTTTGTACTTTCCTTTTAGTATTTTTTATTTTTTCTTGGATCCCAACAAATAATTCACACTAGTAGAGAAGATACAACTCAGTCTTAACCCTTAGTCACTATCATGGCAAGGACTAAGGAGCAAGTAGTTTTTGTTCCACATCATCAGATCTGGACGGAGAGGGTCTTTCAAAGTACACATAGTGTCATGCCAAGGGCCCGCACAGGTTTTGGGTTGTCGGATCCGTGTCTGGGTACCATAAAATTATGATATGGTATATTTTATTTATTTTTCATTGGCAAGAAACTTACGCACCAATTTGTCCAAACGACACTCGAGCCCTCACCTTTTATTTTGGAAGGTAGAAAAGATACCACTAAGTTACGTGACCTTAGGTTTATGTGGTATCTACTTGTTGGATTCTTTTAAGTTTTTTATAGGATTCTGTTCATATTGTAATAATGACAGAGAAATCATATATATATATATATATATATATATATATATATATATATATATATTAAGGTTTGATCCCTTTTTTTTTCTTTTTTTTGTGAATGTTGTTGCAGCTTTACCTCATCCAGGAAACGTACCAGTGGCTATCCTTCACAGCATATTTGTAAAGGGTGTTCTAATTAGTTATAAACTAGCAGAGGATGACTTAGAGGCTTCAAGGCTCTACCCGGATTTGAAATACACTACAATTGAACAGCTCCTTGATATTTTTCTCCATAATCCCCCAAAGCCTGCTTCTGCAGCATTTGAATGAGCTTCCATATCTCTTGTTTGCTAATCAAGTGGCATTTTTAACCATGATCTACTTTGTAGTACTCTATAATATTATTTGGTTGTGATGTAATACAACCACGGCAACTAAGTTCAATGACTAGTTGAAAGCCAATATTTTCCTTCATCTCTCTCTGTCTCTCTCACTCACTCACGCACACATACAGAGAACTGCATTGAAGCCAAAATGAGCACTGAAAAAACAAGCAATGTTTACGAATATCTGTAAGACTAACAAGTTGAGCCTAGGGTTGAGACTTGATTCGCTTGAAAATGTTGTTTGAGCTTGGTTTTGAACGATGTCCGGCATGAAAAAATATTTGTATCCATCCATTCTCACATATTGTTTTTGGAAATTCTCATTTTTCTCCAGCAGGTGAACTGCTACTTTTCTTTCTAAGTTCCTTTTGGACATTTCCAAACACATTCACGTCCGGTGAAATAAGTTCATCCCAGTCCATTTTCTGAGATGACTGGGAAGAACTTACATCCATTTTCCGAGATGACTGATTCACATCCGGTGAAAATTGGATCCTAAACCAGAGTATATCCATTTTCTCATCTCAAATGCACAAGGAAACTCTTCTTTTCGACCTGCATCTAGCACGGGCTATCCTATGCTTGTACAACTAAAGACCGCTATTCCAATTCCCAACATATGGATACAAACTGCATCAAAACAAACCCTTATGACAAACTTTCACGAGTCTCCATTGAAGTTTGTTAAGAAACCTTCTTCTGACAGTTGACCCACAAAAATCAGATTCTTCCTCACGTCAGGGATGTGCCTCACATCCTTTAACTTTCATACAGATCCATTCAGCTTGATTTGTATTTCACCCTTGCCGACGATACTGTAGGGTTGATCATTTGCCAAGATACACCTTTCCCAAGTTACCCGGTACATAGCTCTCAAAGAGCTCTTGACTTGAGGTTGCATGAAATGATGCTCCGGAATCTAGGAGACACACACACACACACAACAACAACAACAACAACAACAACAAAAGAGATGGGTATGAGGGGTTTAGAGAGAGATGGGTATGATGAATTGGATTTGAGGAATACTTGTCTAACAAGGAATTGGGTTTTGAAGGCTCTATAAATAGAGATGGGTATGAGGGGTTTAGAGAGAGAGAGAGAAGAGATAAAAGATATAAGGAGTTTAAGGGTGAGTATTGTGAGGAGAGGGGAGAGTATATGTAATTCCCGAGTGTATACATGTAATCTCAAAAAAGATGATGAGTGAGTGAGTAGGGGTTTTGACATGTGGTTGTATATTCTCTTCCTTGATTCATAATAGTGAAATCTCTCTCTCCCATGGACGTAACCCTAGAATTGGGTGAACCATGTAAAATATTGTGTTGTGCGTTGATGTGTATGATTGTTATCTCCATATATGCTTGTGTTGATGTGATGCGATGATGCTTCCATCGTGTGTGATGAAGGAGGGATTTAACCCTCAACAACAGCCGACCGTTGAGTGGGTTGGAGGGAGTTAATTATCCCCAACAGATACACCTTTCCCAAGTTACCCGGTGCATAGCTCTCAAAGAGCTCTAGACTTGAGGTTGCATGAAATGATGCTCCGGAATCTAGGAGACACACACAACAACAACAACAACAACAACAAAAAGCTGTTTTATATACCCCTTTGTTGCTTAGGCTCCTCCTCTATAAAGACGTAATATAGAATTATGTCTTGTGTATAAAGTAGGAACAATCCAGACTTTGTTGATGGTTTATTATTAAGGATATAGTTGGTCTTACAGTTGGCTCCATTCAGCTTAAAGAGATAAAACTATTCACTAGGTGGCAACTAATGTTGGAGGTTGTCTAAGGGTTCTAAATGGGCAACGGAAAGATTAATTGTTGAATACCAATCTCTGGGGACAATGTCAAATTTCGTAGGAGAAATAAACGTAGTTCGTTGGATTCCTAACAAAGAAATTGGTGAGAGGGTTTTGAATCAAAGGATGCCAAGGAAGATATAAAAAGAATTAAAAACCTGTTCTTTTTGGGTTGTCAAGGATATTACCCTTAACTACTCCAACTTCTCCTTTTCCTATTTGGAACAAAGTTTGATCCCCCGCTATTCAATTATATTATTTCATTTGATTTCATGGAGATATTTTTCTGTGATGCAAGAGCATTTCCCTGGAATTTTCTCGTGTTTGCTGTCATGAACTTATTTATCCAATTTAATGCAGTTTCTTTTTTATTTGCCGTGATAAATTGGTGCTAGAGAGTGAGTGGTGCATCATCAATCTTGTGACAATGGATAGAACATAAAGAAGTATTGTTATTGGGGGATCCACAAGGAGACCTTGATTATGAGATATGTTAATTAGGTTGAATACACTATTATGGTCTACTGATGTTTCGGTCAAATCATACTGTGAATTTGCAGCATAAAGTAGTGTAGAAGAGGTAGAACAAAGGAAGAATTAAGTTGGATGTAGGAGTCCAAAGCTGGAATGGGTCAATAGGAAATAGGAATGCTACATTGCTCCATACAAGTGATGGGAGAATAATATATGACAGAACTTCTTGTTAGGATATGTGTGCCCTAGCATAGCAAATTCTAATTTTGGATTGTAAAAGTCATGGTTTCTTGTTTGGATATTATTATTAAAGCATTATATAATTGGTGAATGGAATGTATTATTTTTCGATTCTTTATGGAATTGATGGTGTCCGCTTGATTACAAAATATATTTATATATGTATGTAATGGCTATTAATACTATGATATAAATTAGTAATCATAAATGGTTTAAAGTCGGTAATTATGGATGGACATTTAATTAGTTAAGATTTAAACCGAGTCCGCGATAGATTGAAATATATTGCGAGAGCTGTCGTATGCAATTGCTCTCTATCACAGTCATGGCTTTTGACTCTCAAGCATGAGAGAAGTATAGACTCTTTTATTAATTAATAATTACTTTGATTTGTTCGGCGGATACCTCGGGATCCTTAGATCGACACTTTGGGTAGTTATGTAATTAATAATTAAAGGTCTATATTCTCAATATTTGCATCAGTGCTTTTTGTATTTATTTTGTTTTGATTATGGTTGATCACAAATTAAATTCGAAGGCCTTCGTATGTTTTAGAGGAAAGTTCAAAAGGTTTACTCAGACCTTTGATGTAAGTATTCAATCTGTTTATTGAATTATGCATCATCTTTTATTTATCTTTGCATAAAACTTGTCTCTGTGTGATGAATCAAGATCTATGATTGCAAATCCCTCAAAAGTTTTAAAAACTTGCACGTTTCCCAACAGTGGTATCAGAGCACATGGTTTGATTCATTACTAGAGAACATGTGTTTATAAAGATCATATTCATGGATCCAAATTATATATACATATATAAAATTATTGATATATGTTGATGTATGATTTATTATGTTGATATATGTTAATACATGATGATGTATGTACAATTGTGAATGGATGATGATGTGTGTTTGGGCCATAGATGAAGCTTATAGGTATATAGAATGTAATTTTATTTTTGGATGAATGTAATTAAGGCTTTGTTTTAGCCGTTTGAAAATTCAATGATGTAATTTAATTTTTTCCATTGTATTTCAAATTGTAAGTATTTATTAAAGCCATGTAATATTCATCAAAGGATGCTATGAAGCTTCAAGAGGGTCCGAAAGGGTTAAATTATGCTTCAGTAATTTTCTGAATTTTTCGGGAATTTTTTGAGGCTTAATTTAATTTTCTGGGATTTTTCCGGATTTTTTGGAATTTTTTCGGCGTTTTTCCGGTGGCCGGAGCTTCGCCGGCGGCGAGAAGAGGCGTCGGAGGTGGCCTGGATCAGGTGTGGCAGCGGGTAGGTAAGCCTGGCGCGTGTTCCACATGCGCTAGGAGTGGGCTGGTTAATGGGCAAGCTGGCGCGTGGATCTCACGCGCCAGACAAGGAGGTATGATCCTCTACGCGCGTGAAGGCGCGTGGAGGCGCGTCCCACGTGCCCCAGGCGCGTGGGAGCGCGTCCCACGCGCCCCAAGCCCGTGCCGGCGCGTGAGGGCGCGTGGGAGCGCGTGCTGAGTATTGCAGCCTACCCTAGGCGCTTGCCAGTGCGTGTGGGGTCCTCCGGGCTCGTTCCAAGCGGCATTTTGCTTCTCCTGACCCGTACAAGCTTCCTATGGGTGTTTACAGACAGTTGAAGGACGCCCGTACAGCAAGAATAGTTTTTAAATGTTAAAAGCTGAATCCATTGGCCATTTATATTGCTTCTGTCTATTATTTGATGTATGGAATAATTTAATGCTTATTATAATTGTTCATGCATTGGATTCATAATTTTTAATTAAATGGCTTGATTTATATTAATTAAATTATGAAGATAAATTGGATTAGATTGCTAATTAATTTGAGAGCATTTATTGGGAAACAGAAAAATTATTTTTGTAAATTATTTTTTGCCTCAAATTAAAGATTAGTGAATCATTTAAAATCCATATATTTTCTAAATTTAATTGGATTAAAATCAAGGCGTTTTGCATGCATTAAATCATGAATTGAAAACCCTAGTTTTATATTATTAAAAATTGAGTGGGAGCGGGGATTTTTTTTTATACATTACCCCATGGCCTTCGTAATTATAACTATTATGATTAGATCTTTAAAAATAAGGCTCCACGCATGGTTTAAAGAGTCTAGATTACAAGAATGGTTGTCTCACGAAAATATATTTATTAAATAACCATTATAGTTAGATCTTTAAAAATAAGGCCCTACGCATGATTTAAAGAGTCTAAGCTATTAATTGCAATATATTTAATATTTGTTTTTCCGTTGGAGCATTAATTATGTTATACACTCAATCTAAAATCAATAGTATTAGCTCCCCAACGGAGTGGTCTATACTAGGTGATTTTAGAAAGGCTAAATCTAATCGGGAATTATTTCATATATAGATAAGGCATTGTCTAAAGAGATATGGAAATAATGGGTTGTTCTCGT